GGCAGGGTAGTGCGCCCTGCACTCGCAGGTGCTGCAGCTGCGAGTGAAACAAGAGCAGTGGTCAGTTCTCCCTGGGGACACAGTGGGTGAAACCCAGCCTCCCTCTGCAAGGTGAGGATGGCAGGTTCCGCACCATCACATCTTGCTATCCCTGGGAATGTAAGCTGGCCTAGGACTGCACCCCAGCCCCTGTGCTGCCTATAGTGTGGTGTGGGGGGAGGGCAAAGGAGAGGGAAGATGTGCCCTGCCTCTGGGTAGAGGGGGCGTCTGGAGGGAGGGCAGTGTGCAGTGTCTCTCCCAGGGGTCAGGAGCCTGTCATGTGCCTTCATGCATAGACTGGGGCCACATGTCCTGGCTGGCATGGCAGATGCACAGGTTGCCACCTGCTCCGTGGTCGGCAATGCCACACGCACGGTCCCTGGGCTCCTCCTCTCCCCCCCCTCAGCTGCATAAGGGGACTGTGATAGCACTCACATGTGGAGACCTCCCTGGCCTCAGATGAGGCTGCTGACGGGCTCTCCGTTACGGCTTGCTTCGGGGGTCCTGGGTCCAGGGCATACTTCCTGCAGGCTCCTGGATGCCATTCTCCTCCTCTGCCCCGGGGTCAATGACCACCAGGGGGGCACGGACCATCTGACCCCCCAGGATGCGGTCCAGGGCCTCGTAGTGCAGGCAGGACTCTGGATCAGCCCCTGGTTGGGAGCCGCCCCCTGAAGCCTGGCATAGGTGTGCCCCGGTGCTTTTCATGCGCACTTGCTCCTGGGTGCATATGTGGCCTTTGATGGCCAGGCTGTCAGCCATCCGCCTATAGATGTCCGTGTTCCTGTTTCTAGTGCGGAGATTGTGGACATTGGAGGCCTCCCCCCAAACGTCAATGAGGCCTACGATCTCCACACTAGACCAGGCAGGTGCCTGCCTTTTGCGGCCCCTGGCAGGCTCCTGGGAGCTGCCAGCCTGCTTCTGGGGAGTGGTGGAGAGCTGGGTGCCACAGAGTTGCTGGCTCATGCTGGGCAAGGTGCACAGACTGCTGGCTCTAGGCTGGCAGGCTTGCAGCTGGCACGGGCACTGTGGCAGAGTCTACCCCCTTTAGGGCTCCCGGGGGGCCGGGGGGGGGGGGGGGCGCCCCGCTTATGCAAATGAAGCCCGGGAAATTCAAATCCCGGGCTTCATTTGCAAGTGCGGTATGCCTACATTACCCTCCTAGTTCGAACTAGGAGGGTAGTGTAGACATACCCTTTGATTTTAGTTTGCACCTGCTCCTGGATCCACATGTGGCCTCTGGTGGCCAGGCTGGCAGCCATGAGGCTGTAGATGGCCGTATTCCTGTGCATAGTGTGGATATCGTGGGCATTGGAGGCCTCCCCTCAAACCTCAATGAGGTCCACAATCTCCGCACTAGACTAGGCAGGTGCCTGCCTTTTGTAGCCCCTGGCAGGCTCCTGGGAGCCGCCAGCCTGGTCCTGGGGAGTGGTGGAGGGCTGGATGGCAGCGGGTTTCTGGCTCATCCTGTGCCAGGTGCATGGTCTGCTGGCTGGGTGCTGGCAGGCTGGCAAATGGCACAAGCACTGTGGCCAGAGTCTGCTCCTTTAAGGGGTCCAGGGCTTTGGGGGAGCAGACGAGTTTTCCTGGTTGTGCCACCAGGGCTCCCTGGAAAGGGCTGGAGGGCCCCTATTTCAAATTAAGTGTCTACACAGCACTTAATTCAAAATAGCTATTTCGAATTTGGCGTTACTCCTCATAGAATGAGGTTTACCAAATTGGAATTATGCGCTCTGCTATTTCGAATTTAATTTGAAATAGCGGTTTGCATGTATAGACCCTATTGAAGTTAATTCGAAATAACGGCTGTTATTTCAGATTAACTTTGTAGTGTAGACATCCCCTAACACAACCTCTATCTCTGTCTAATCTCACTCCTCCATCTGATTTTCTCATATGATTCTACTTTTCCAATCCTGGATTCTCCATCTTTCTCCCTAATCCTTTTCTCCTTTGGACAACTCCATTCTTCCTACACTGTCATCTTTAATTCTTCCCCTCCAGATACAGGTTATTTTTGAAAAGCACTGAAGTCCTATTTTCAAAGGTGACTTAGGCACTTGGACTCCTAAGTCTCACTGAAAGCCAATGGGACACGGGGCCTTTTGCCTTAGCCACTTTTGAAAATGGGCATGAGGTGCTCTTGAGAATTTTACTTCTGACTGTTCCGTGTCCCACTCTATAACCATCTCTTGCCCTCCCTTCATACAACTAAAACCATTATTTGTGCATTACACAATTTTGGCTTCCATACTGTAACCTTCTCCTGTCTATCCAAAATGTGGCTATAAACTCATCTTCCTCTCCAGACCCCCCCCACTCTAAGGGTAAATGCCGGTGAAAAGAATTAGGGTATGTCTACATTACATGGCTTCATCGACGGAGCCATGTAGATGAGCTTTGTAGACATAGGAAAATGTCATCATTTACATAAAAATGGCTGCCGCGCTGTGCCAATCAGCTGTTTTTCGGCACTGTGTGGTAGTCTGGACGCTCCGCAGTCGACATCAAAAGCCTTTGTCGACCTCCCCATTATGCCTCGTGGGATGAGGTTTACCGGGGCGGTTGACAAAGGCTTTTGATGTCGACCACAGAGAGTCCAAACTACCATGCGGTGCCAAAAAACAGCTGATTGGCACAGCGCGGCAGCCATTTTGATGTAAATGATGACATTTTCCTTTGTCTACAAAGCTCATCTACATGGCTCCATCGACGGAGCCATGTAGTGTAGACGTACCCTAATTCTTTTCACCGGCATTTTCTCTTTTATCACGAAGTTCAAAGTCTTCAAGGTCCTGCATAATTTTATCCCCATCTTATGTCTCTGTTTTCATCTACTCCTACTCTTCCTTGTATTTCATGTGTCCCCATTGCTTCTTGCCCCCTTCTCATTGTTAAGACTTATTTTACATTGCTGTCTAGAACTAAACAAATATTGTATCTTATTTCAAACGCCCTTCCTCTTAGCATACAAACCCTGTTCTTTTATTCATTCTGCCTACTCTGATCTCTTACCAGCTATCTCTATATCTCTTATTTTCCAAAGGGATGAGGGGATTGTCTTTATTAGATTATAAAATCAAAGGGATGAGCATCCATTGAAGGTAGAATGGCCCAGTGGATAGCACTGTGATTGTAAAACAGGATACTTTTTCTGCTCCTGGCCCTGCTATTGATCTATGGTGTGAGCTTTAGGAAGTAACTTCACTTTTGTGCCTGTTTCTCCTATTACCCTTTGTCAGTCTTATCTTTTCAGATTGTAGGCTCTTTGGGATTGTTTTTCAGTCTGTGACTGTGCAGTGCACAAGATCTTGGGGCCTTTGGAAACTACCATATTACTTTTTCCAGTTCTATCATTTACTTGCCCAGTCAGGCAAGGCATTTGGCCTCTGTACGTACAGTAATATAGAAATGATACTGTTGAGATCTGTAGATGAACTGTGTGTGCGCATTTGGATTTTAAGTCCAATATATCTTTATAACATTGTATAAAGCGATCATAAGTGGAAGCCAATCCTACTTCCAGTCGGGCCGGCATTTTGTCCCAAACCTCATGTGTTGCATATACCAAAATGTACTCAAACAAATCTTTCAACTTTAAATAAAAATGAGTTTTCAAAAATGGCTGAAGAGATGTGTAGGTATGGGTGAGTCCATATCTCATTGAAACAAGTACGTCACTCCTGCCTGGCCCTTCTGCAGGACCTCTTAAGTCCAAGGCCATCCAGCCTGAGTCCAAAACACAGTTCAAGTCTGGCCCTTTAAGACAAGGCCAAGGCCTTCCATCCTGAGTCCGAAACACAGTTCAGAGTTGTAGTGGGGTTACATCTGGGCCCAGCCTACTCCACCAGTTCCCAGCCCAGGGCCCTGTGAGTGACCGGATAGTGGGTCACTCCCTCAGAGGGGCAATCCGGCTGAAACGTGCCAAGGTTCTCGGGGTGGGAGAGGTGGTTCCCGCTCCTGCCCTGGGCCTCTTCCTACCTGGTTCACTGGGGTTCCTTTCCCATGTACTCGTACAGCTTGCTGCGGCCTCCGGGCCGGTGTCTCCTCGGCGGGCAGTCTCTGGTGACAGCTGTGCAGGAGCTCCCTTCCCAGGTCCTTCTCCTCTGGCTGCCATCCCTGACTGAGTCCTTCCCCAGGCTTTTATAATGGAGCTACAGCCTGGGCATGCTTGATAGGGCTGCGGGTGAGGGACCTCTGCAGCCAGGTAACCCTAGCTGGGCCCTGCAGGCTCAGTGCGGGGCTGCCTTGTCCCGTCACAGTCACTAATAAACAGATGCAGAAAAGAAAGTACATGGCTAGACCAGTATGTCATTTAATATGAAACCAAATAGATTTTTTTGGAAATTACATGCCAGGTTTTCATTTGCGCTACATTGGCACAATTCCATTGAATTCAGCAGATCTACACCAATTTACACCTGCAGAAAAGTTACATCTGTAGAACATGCACCTGTACTACTCGTTCCTGGCACAGGTATTAAGGGGTCTTAGTTTCTATTATGGAGGTGGCCATAGTGGCTTGGTGTTTTGCTAGAGGTAAGGGAGTTGACGCTGCAGCCCTTGCATACACAGGAGAGCACCTGCTCACATGTGTATACCTCTTTACATCAAAGAATGTGAGACTGACACATTCTTACAGAGACTATTTATAAACCCTTTCACGATCGCCATTTCCTGTTTACGCATCTATTGTATGTTCTCTCTTAAACTAGACTTTTAGCCTCCATACTTATTCTGTAGCTCTTGGGAGTCTATACAACTGACATGCTTTAAAATTGCTCGTCGATCTCCACTACCTAGGGAAAAGACCATTTGGATGCATCTGTGACCAAGGGAGGAAGATAATACAGTAGAACAAATACCAAACCAAGTCCTGCCTCTTTAGTCAAAGGTAAAATCAGTCTATAGTAAACATAATGTAGTCTTAACTGTAGTTAACTAGCTATAGTTGGGAAAGGGGAGACGTGTCTTGAGAGATATCTGTCTCTAGAAAATTATGCTTTTTCAACTTTATTGTTAGTCTTACTGAAGTGGAGAAGGGAGAAGAGGTCCCGCATGGAAAACAATGAAATTTGGAAAATAGAAAGTTGAGAAGAGTGTATCCGCTACATAGAATAACAACCCAAACTTCAGAGATGCTGAGCACTGAATCACCTATTCATTTTAGTAAAATTACTCTTGAATTATACTGATGTAAATGAGATCAGAATCAAATGAATTACCTTTGTGTGATTTCACATGGCATATATTTATTCTACACACATCTGTTTTATAAATATATAACGTAATTGCAGAACTATATGTTATTTGCTCTAGAATCAGAGCAGAGAATTAGTTTAGATAACATATTGCATGGTTCTTCTCTCATTGCTTATGATTTCTAACGAAAGATCTTTGCATGAAAACATGACTTTTTTGGGGGGGGTTGTATAAAGATTCTGAACCCGTAATATGCTGATTGCCTGCTATGAGCCGCCAAATGAAATGTTTAAGAGTTTGGATGTAGAATGACAGGCATGAACAGCAGGACTAGAGAGTAAATTACAGTCCTGATTCTCTTCCCTTCCCTCCTGACCTGGTGCGAAGCGGACCGTCTATTGCTAGTTCTTCCATCTTTAGTGCAGTGGGAGGCTTGACCATCTCAATAGCATCATTCCAATGATGAAAGCACTTGTGCACAGGTAGAGCGTGTCTTTGGGTTAATGGAGACAAACTCCACTTCCCCAACAGGACAGAGGAGGTTTCTTTAAAAGAATCCTCATGGAGAATCTGCTTTCCCTTCCCCCAAGAGTGGATGATCCACGTCCAAAATAATAATTATACCTGCCTGTTCTAATCAATGTGTTTCAAAGCTCTGGATGAGCCTTCAAGAAACAAAGAATTTGTTTTCAAGGTTATGGCCAGAAAAATGCAAATGCAAATGTTTTTTACAAATTAAGGGAAAAATCTTTCCAAATAGATTGCTTTTCATGGCTTTTCCTGATATGTTTTATAACTTTTCCCTCTTAAAGGGAAGGTGTGGTCATGCAAAAATCACTAGTCACTTATGAAAGTTCTGGCAATAATATTATTAAATTGTTTACACTAGAATGTGTCATACATTATGGAGAGAGAAACCACCAAAATTGGTTTTGATTTTCAAAACCAGAAAACTTGAAATAAGACCAAAACCTGCATCTCAACTTGGGGAAAAGTTGTTCCAGAGAGGTACAATGCCAACAGATGGGTTGTCCAATCAGAAATCTGACCTTTGTGAGGCTATATATCTTCTCAATAAAATGTTCTTTATTATAATACATGGAGAGCTGGATCCTGCTATGCTTAGGGCTGCCTTCCTCACAATTTTTGTACCACTACAATTCTGTCATTTAGTGGTGCAATTAAAAAACCCCACAATAGAGCTCTTGTGATTTAGCCCTTAGTGCGGTTGTTGTAGTGATACATATTATACTGATACAGCTTATTTTCCTTTGTGTTTGGGAGTAAGCCATACCAGCATAATTGCATTCATACTGGGCATGTACAAGGGGTAAGTTCACACTGCTTTACCTAACCAGTTTAGTTGAAGTGGCATCATTTTATGTTTAGACAAATCCTTAAACTGATCGGTACCTTATTCCTCAAGCAGTCGCATTGATTTCATTCAGCGTCAATAACAGAAGCACAATTCAGTCTTATGTAACTCTTCTCTACCCATAGTCAATTAATTATCTCTTTTTTGTGCACAGGTATTAAAGATGATATTTACAAGCCCTTTCCCAAACACCACAGAATACTACTATGTGTATGATGAAGGCACCTCTCCTTGCAGTGAAGGCAATGGTTTCGGCAGATTAAAAACACTGTTTCTTCCAATCGTTTACTGCCTAGTATTTGTTGTCTGTCTAGTAGGAAATGCCTTGGTCGTATGTGTGCTCTTAACCAGGAAGAAAGTCGCCACCATGACAGACGTGTGCTTGCTCAACTTGGCGATCTCTGACCTGCTGTTTGTTGTGCCCCTCCCATTTCAGGCTCATTACGCTTCAGAAGAATGGATTTTTGGGAATGCCTTGTGTAAAATAATGACTGGCATTTATTACATAGGCTTTTACAGTAGCATTTTCTTTATTACCCTCATGAGCATAGACAGGTATATAGCAATTGTTCATGCGGTTTATGCCATGAGAGTTCGGACAGCCTCTTGTGGTATAATTATAAGCTTAATCTTGTGGGTGATGGCTAGCTTGCCTGCCGTACCCAGTATGGTGTTTAACCAAGAAGTGGAAATTGAACAGTCCCTCACATGCATCCCCAAATACCCTCCAGGCCAAGAGACCTGGCGATTTTTCACTCAGTTTGAAGTCAATGTCTTGGGCCTTTTGATCCCGCTCAGCATCCTCATATACTGCTACTCCCACATCTTGAAAAATCTGCAGAGATGCAAAAACCGAAAGAAGATTAAAGCCATCAAGATGATCTTCATAATCGTGGTCATCTTTTTCCTTTTCTGGGCTCCTTTCAACATTGTGCTCTTCCTAGACTCTCTGCAGAACTTGCACGTCATCAGCGACTGTGAGACAAGCAAAAGGCTAGCGCTGGCCCTGCAGCTGACCGAATCAATCTCCTTCATCCACTGCTGCCTCAACCCGGTGATCTATGCTTTTGCTGGCGAAATGTTTAAAACTCATCTTCAAAAAATATTCCAAACTTCCCTCAAACGCATTTCAAGTGCTACTAGTAGCAATACTGCAAATCATTCTCACTCCCTGCCCATTCAAGAATTAGGCTACTCCGATAGTGACAGAGTTCTGTAAGCTTTCTCACTCCCTGCCCAAGAGAACATTCTAACTGTGTTCATCGGAATACAGTGAGTGCCCTAAAAACTTACTACCATTGCCTGTGCCTAGTGTTCTGCCTCCACTGTTTATTTTATAGGAAGGGAAAAAAGTTGGTTCTGGATTTTGATTTCCACTATGAATGAAGATGACAGATTTGCAGGACTCTTACATGTAAATATTTCCATAATACTCTGAAATGCATAAGCTCAGTGTCTTCTTCCTCACAGTATTTTTCTGTTTTAAACAAGTATTTTTCTTGAATAAAGCAAAATGGCTTCCTTGTTCTGGCTTCCTGACAGTTTCCATAGTTTAAAATTGCGGGAGGGCTAGGTATAAAGGCATTCAAACACAAACTTAGTTGGAAGGACATTGACGCAGAGTTCTGACAATTAAAAAGGTGTTTGTGATGGCTTCCTTCAAAGTTTGGTAGCCAAAAATTCCCTTTAGATTGGCTGCCTTCTTTCTGGGTGTCTGCAATGTAGCCGTTGTATAATAATTTTCAGACTACAGGTATTCAAAAATATATCTGCTGTTTAGCTTTGAAGTCAAATGAATCATAACACCATTTCACTATCTGGCTGTGTAGACAAATCAGCTACAGTGTTTAAATATATGGTTTCGCTCACCCTTGGGTTATGCCAATTTGACACAGATGTAACTCTCAGTTTCAATGCAATTATGACTACTTAACACCAAAGTAAGACAGGAGTGAGTCACATTCCTGTATGGAAACATCCGAGAGCAGAATATTTTCCTATGTGTTTAATTTGGCACGTAATCTTTCTAAAATATAGCCTGCTCTGTTGCCACGACTATTGATCCAATCTAAAGTTCATTTAAGTCAGGAAACATCTTCCCCATGACTTTGATGACTTTATTAGACTTTATGATTTCTGAAGCTTCAGGGGGTAGCCGAGTTAGTCTGTACAGAAAAAACAACAAATGGTCTGGTAGCACTTTATAGACTAACAAAACATATAGATGGTATCATGAGCTTTCATGGGCACAGCCCACTTCTTCATGTCACCCCACACCTTGTAGAAGTTGCCTGGTGATATATGTTATGATAATCCCTAAAGACAAGCTAAATTGAAGTGTGATGCACTGGAGTCTTTCCTCAAAATAAGACCTCTCCAATTCCCTTCTAGATAAGTGTTTTATCAAAACTCCAATAATAATTCACAGAAAGAAAGCTACATTTACATTCATTTAAGGGTGCCATATGCACATTTTTTAAAACCAACATAATGCCTTGAACTCTAGCAATTATTCAAGAAATTTTACAATCTTTTTCAGCAGCTCTATCTTTCATTTTTAAAATGTCTTTACAATTACGGTAATGTTACTAATTAATGACATGAAATATATTTCTAACTTAAATTCTGACTACTTCTTGTCATGCCTCATGTCACTACAAAGACTAGAAGTATACTGTGGTTCAATTACCGCACTGCTATTTCTCCAAAGACTTCAAATAGTTAGAAATTGTGAAGTACTCCATTTATTTATTCCTATGCTCTATTATCCATGTCAAAGTTGAGGTTGGAAATATATACTGTATGTACTTCTCAGCTGCACGATATGTCCCACAAAACATCATAATCATATGATTCCCTCGCCACAAAAAGAGACCATGGTATTTCACAGAAGATGTGGGCCAAATTAGGAACCCAGGCTAGAGATGAAAATGAGGCAGCCAAACTACAACACTGATAAGGCACCACAGCCACATTTCAAACTCAAAACATTTTTGTTTTTTCAACAAAATATTATGGTTTTAAAAATTTCTCCAAAACCTTTAAGTTTTCTGTGGAAAACTTTGATGAAAAATTTTTTTTTTCCCTTTTTGTCACGAATTTTTCTTTCTTTTGTCTTTTCCTCAGAGGTGAAAAAAACAACAACACATTTTCTCACTCGTTGTTTTGGAGACACTTCCCCAGTGGATCACACAGGTATTTACTAATCTGTAGTACAGTACAGGTTGGAACTCCCTGGTCCGGCACCCTTGGGATCTCTTTTAAAAGCATCTTTTTTTGTAAGCTGTGAATCTTCCTAAAAAGACTCTAAAAATCTCTCTTATGAGAACTATGACATGTGTAATTTTTGACCATAGCTGCAATCTTATTTTTCTGCTAGATGATCATAAAGAAAAGACACTCCTCAGGGGGAAAAAAGGCCCACCATCTGTTTTTCAGCAGCTTATTATGAGCTTTCCAGAACGTCACATTGCACAATCAATATACCAAACAATCTGTGATCAGCCAGAGATTATAATCAAACCTTCTCTTCAAACACTTGCAAAGAAACCAGATAACCTCCATTCTTTCCACTACGCAAATGATATTCTTTAATGGAATCTTAATCTTAGTGCAGCTACCACTGCATCATAACTCTCAATTGGATTTTTCTCAGTGTTGGATTTGTAGTTTCTCCAGGTTCAGAGTAAGGGCCAAAGTTTCTGATCTGTTATGTGTCCAACTCCCACTGAAATAGTGGGCATATGTAACCCACACACCTAGGCTATGTCTACACTCGCGGCTTCTTGAACCTGGAGAAACTACAAATCCAACACTGAGAAAAATCCAATTGAGAGTTATGATGCAGTGGTAGCTGCACTAAGATTAAGGTTCCATTAAAGAATATCATTTGCGTAGTGGAAAGAATGGAGGTTATCTGGTGTAGACATAGCCCTAGTGTGGTTACTGAGTAAAGCAAGTGGCACCTAGACCACCGCAACAATTAAGATCAAGAGACCTCTACAGCATAGGTGGGGAGCCAGCTGGCTTTTAGCTCAGAGGGTAGAGGCTTCTATAGTCAGTTCCCAAGGTCCCAGATTCAAAATCCACCTTGGTGGCGGTTACATAATGGAGAGCAGAATTTATCCTGATAGATATGCAGAACCCTGAACACAGAAGATTAAGGAAAGATTTCTAGTCTCAGTACAGTGCTTTACTTTAGGATTGCTGTTTGAAGCTTTAGTATTTAAGAATACAAAGCAAGGTAGGGGAAAAAAGATGATTTCATTAATTCAGCTGCATTCATTCAGGTGCAAGGGAATCTTGGAATTCTGCTAAGCAAACTCTCCAGCTGGATTTAGAGTAATGCACTCACCCAAGGAATCGCAATTTAAAGTCAATACATCATTAACTGAGGCCTTCATTAACTGAATCTCCTCGAAGGGCAGGGGATACTTTCCAAGAGCATTGACTCTAGCAAAATCATCTTTGTATGGGTGTTGAATGCACCAGACTTAAATGGTATTGACAAGACATGGTCAGAAAAAGTCCCATCCCCATTTCAGGCTCTTAAAAATCTGGAACCGAGGGAAACAAGATGCACGTAGCAGGAGAGTTCTGAGGCTATGCGCCGTTGTGGCATGTGATTAATTCAGATGCCTCTGCCTTTGCTTTAAAAAAAAATCTTGCTGAGCATCTTTACCACCCTGTGATCAAGTCCATATAATAATTAATTCTCTATGCCTACTGAAGACTGCACCTTACAAATGAGCATGTCAAAGCACTTGCCACAGATTAATTAGCCAAATCACACAAGACCCTTGCACAGAAGGTAAATAGATTCATTTCACTGATGAATACACCGACTTGCTCCAGATCACATAGAATGGGTGGCCCCAGAAGGGAAAGGGAGAATATAAGCAGCCTTTCTCTCTAAATTGCACTGACCACCAGAGTTAAGAGGACTTGCAGAAAAAATATTCTTCATCCTCTCATTCACGTGCACTTTCATAACTCAGTGGCAGAGGTGGGACTTAAAATTGGAAGTCCTAACTTCCAGTCCTCTGTACTAACCAGTAGATCACATTCTCACAGAGATACTACAGCCCCCCAGCCAGATACATGTAGCACAGGAAAAGCAATTCAAACTGTCAGCTCCAACAGAAAAAGTCATTCCCATCTGGTACTTTAAAAGGAATAGTTCCAGTAGCTCATCCAACAAACCAAACTAATAATGACAGAAAAGTTACCCTCTTTTCCTCAGCATCAAAAATGCCTCAAGTCCTCACCAAGTGTTTTTCCAAAACATTTTTCTCTGCTTCATCATTTTAAGTCTTCCTAGTATTTACTTGGTTGGCTGTTGTACTTCTCAGGAGACATTTGTATTTTTCTTGCCTCTGCTTTTCATTTTTATACACTTCCTCTTCTGCTTCTTGATATTTCCATACTTCACTTCATGCTCAGAGTCTCATGGTCTTTGTTTCAGATTCACCTTCTCAGGCTCATTCTACAGTAAAGGAGCATGAGGTCCTTTAAGAAAAGAGGGGTGTTTCATTAGCAGACCCGGCCTTACGGCAAGGCGAGCGAGGTGGTTGCCTTGGGCCCTGCACATTAAGGGACCCACATTGCCCACCTGGCTGCTCACTCACTCACTCGTGGCTGTGAGGCTCAGCCACGCTGCCTTGGGCCCCACAAACTCTGTGGCTGGGCCTCTTCATTGCTAGACCGCGGAACTGCAAGTGCGGCAGTTGTGAAGGATTGCTGACCCTTTTGAGCAGTGGAGGAAACAAAAGAAGACTGGCTCCACACCATCCTTTTTTTTTTTAGCTCATGAAATGCCACTCTCCGGTGTTCTCTGAAAGAGTGATTTCCTTGGACATAGGCCACGATTTTCAGGAGAGAAAAATGGTGTGACAGGATCAGGGCATAGCTACGGATGGGTCTGCGTAGGCCATGGCCCACCACTAGCTTGCCCTGTGCTCCAGTTGAGAAGCAGAGCTGGTGCTCTGGGGCTTACGCCCCTCTGCCCTGCTGCTCTGGCCATTCCCCTCCAGCACTGCTACTGTCACTTCTGTCCTGCTCCCCACCCCCACATTCTTACCCCCTCCCAAAAGTTGGCCCTTTGGCAATGCCACTGTGACAAGTGAAATCCCACTCCTGTCTCTTTTCGAATGACAAACAGCTCATAGACCTTTTTCTGAGCACCTCCTGCAATGTATTTACAGTGTTCATAGACTCATT